ATATGACGGTATAAGTGAAGACTTAAAAAAAGAAAACAGACATCCTGTTTACAAACGCTAAAATATGAACTTAGATGTACATTTTCTACTTTTTAAAAAGTAATACAAATATAACTATTTAGGTATAATTACAAAATTTCAAGTGTTTGCCTTTAACCGTTTTTACTTTCATATCAATAGCATTACTAAAAATACAGATGCAAGATTGGATTATAACTTAACTGAGTTATTCATAATGATTGATTTTATTATTAAAGTCAATAGTAGTGTGCAGTTATAAGTAAAAAACAACAACAACAAATGTAATATAAATTTACCAGTAGTGCTAGTAGAGATTGTTTGTACCTCCTTTACACCATACTGGATCACCCCTGTTTTGAGTAAGTTTCTTGAAGTATGGATCTCTAATAACATTTAACATAACTTGAAATATAAATGCATAATATGTTTAAAATATAAGTACTCTTTTTGACAAGCTTTGACATTTCTCTATTTTGTTCAGAACATTAGCAATGTTTGTCAAATATCATATATTGTTTTTTTGCATGTATTTTGAGAAATAATTTTATTTCCAACAATTAAAGAAATATTCACCTAACTTACACATGATGTGGGTATATAGTCGAAATTAGTTGTTATATATAGTATTACTGGTGTTTCATAAAAATTTGTTGTTTGAGAGTGATATGTTTATTTTCATCAAAAAAAAATCTGTAGTTTTAGTACAGTAGTCTTGCAGAAATTTATAGGGAGATCCCCCGAAACGCTATTATTCGTATTTTTAGGTTGTTATACGTTTCGTACTATTTTGCACAAATAATACATTTTTATGTACAACAGTTTAAGATGAACAAAATAACTTAAACCTAATTGATTGTACCTGAAGACAGGATTTCCTCGAGCTTTTCATATATTATTCCCACATACTTTAAGACGTTATATTTTTATTCCAAGTAGTTAAATAATTCAAAAATCTTCTATAATTGATATTTTGTCATAGTCTGACACTTATTTAGAGTAACTCGTGAAGAAATAAGTTAATATTTTCCTTTCTGCCCAGCTGCAAAGTGTTTTTACCGTAAACAAAACAACCTATCTGTAAATGTTTTTTGTTTATTTTTAGAATTTTTCTGCCCATCCCAAAAAAATAACTAGTCTTATTAAGATTTTAACACCCCCCCCCTTGAGAATATTTATTGATTTTCAAGTGTTTCCATTAGTCTGTGTACAGGTCTTGGATGAAACCTTGTTAAGGTTCCACATCAAGTGTTTTAACAACTTACTAATAAGACAAAGCTTTGAAAACAACTAAAACTAAAAAAGAAAGTTTGAGTATGATTGGATAGAGCACGAATTGATATAGTAAGAATAGAGGTTTTGTTTTGTTTTTATAGTTTCTATAAACGTTCCTTTCGTTGTGAATTATGAAAGTATTTGTGTGTTAAATTATATCTGTTTGAAAGCTACAGAAACCGTCTTCAATGAGAATACACAAGATAAAATAAGTAATCGTATACAATTTAGTTTATTAAAAGTTTAATAAGTAACAAATGTAGCGTTTGGAGAAGATTTTGTCATCATCAGGTTTGAGTAGTTTTATCTATACACAAGAATATACTAAATTTTTCTGTTTAAGAGCAAATAAAACCAAAATTAAGAGTAATAAATACTGTCATTTCTTGCTTTTGAAGTTCATATCTCATGCTACAGAGTGCATAATTCTTCTCATGATTCATGGCATGCGCACGTTTTACTGACATCACGACAGTACAAATTGCGAAGTTGAGCATCCCTTATGTGACGCCATTTTAGTGTCTACTGACTGACTGACAGACAACACTACTGGATTGTGGTGCCAGTGGTTAAAACAGGTGACCTCTCCAGGCAGCCTTTGGCCCCCTTTCGGGAAAATTGATTGTTTGAAATTAAGCATAAAACTACACAATGGGCTATCTGGGCTCTGCCCACCACGGGTATCGAAACCCGGTTTCTAGCGTTGTAAGTCCGCAGACATACCGCTGTGCCACTGGGGGGATTTCGGGAAGATGTCAGTATAAAGCAAGGAAGTCATGTGACTGGAGTTTGCTTAAGGCTCAATAAAGTTATTTTGTTGATGCTTGATTCTTTGTTTAAACAGGTTTTTTTTTTAATTTGTTAATACATATATTATGGTTTTATTGAGTTGCAATGTTTGTAAACATGTGTTTCTTTTATTTTGTTCACCATCTAAAATAAAACTGAAATCAAATCAGTTAAGTTTACTGTTTAGTGAGCATGGCAGCAATTGCAAACTATCCTGATAACTCAAATCTTTATTGAATATCATTTTTTATGTTTAACTTATTCAAACAACGCGCATAAATAGTCTGGCTACTTAATTATTTGTAATTTTAATCACGGTATATCTTAAATAAAAAAAAATATTCTTCTTATTTTGGAAGTAAAACATATTTTCATTATTTAATTATCAATTTACTTTATTTACAGAAGATCAGTATCAGATTACTGCATACTTGAAACACCAACAATGGCGATCGCACGGTAGTATTTGGTCAACATTAGTTGTCTATCTGCTAAGTTGGAATAGTTAAGACTTGAAACACCAACAATGGCGATCGCACGGTAGTATTTGGTCAACATTAGTAGTCTATCTGCTAAGTTGGAATAGTTAAGACTTGAAACACCAACAATGGCGATCGCACGGTAGTATTTGGTCAACATTAGTAGTCTATCTGCTAAGTTGGAATAGTTAATACCTGTCTCAAGATTAACTTTATTGATTTACTGTAAGTGTTGCAAATCAATAAAGTTAATCTTGAGACAGACTGTAAGTGTTGCAAAT